ATCTTCTCCCCTTTGAAACGAAAATTACGAAAATTTCTTTTCCTCCGTCGTTCTTCTTCCTTCGTTTCCGCGTCTCGTTGCAACGAACCATTCTTCATTGTGTCGACAGCTTTAAACATTTTCACAAACATCGAGTTGTGATTGTGTCATACGCAACTGTACCATTAAAAAAGTATATACGCGGTCCTTCCAAACTTGATCACACTTGATCACACACGACTGCAGATGTTCATATATTTATGAAGAATTCAAAGACGCATAGTATACAAAAATATATCGAACATTCAAAGTAAAATACTCTTTATAATATTTTATAGTATTAATCTTCGTTTCTTTACGCCTATAATATCAACTCGCATAAACACCTGCAGCCTGAGAATCGTCTTCATTTGTTGTTCAAGAAATTTATACACAGACAATGAAAGTCAAAGCACAATGATAGATCATTACGAGACTGCAGACTTTTACACATCGGCGCGACGTCTGAACAGGCGGGAATACAAAGGAATGCATTGTAATATGAAAGAATCACACAAGATATGAAAAAGTGCAGTGCATTGTGGAATATTTGGTACCACATTCTCGAATGTATGAACTTGCATAAAAATCCGCATTCCAGTCATTGGCGCGATTTATTGCAAGAAATATCAAGCGACGATTCACGCCTGGAAGAACCGGATGGACAAAACCATAAGTTACAATAACAGTGCTAACAAACGTTTATGTCATCGAAGAAACGTGTTTACTGTGACCATTGACTATGTATAACCGAACAATCAACCATACAAATGGAAACCTTCGTTTTCATCTTGATATTTTTTTGTACTCTTCTCTCTGGTAACTCGTATCTATGGATCAATGCGTTTCCTTCGAGCATCGATCCTCGTATCCGTCAAAAGCCATAGAAATTCACGTTGGAATTTGGAACAATAGAAGATTTTGATTCTTGCTTCAGGCATTCAGATATCTTTACATACGAAGAGAGAAAAGAAAGGAAGAAAGACAATTTTTTGTAGGTCGATAGCACGAAAGTTGAAAGAAACACAGTAAATCCATTGGAGAGCTCTGCTAGAGATTAATTAACTCTCGTGAACTTACAACATACAAAATATCGAAATATTCACATTTGGTGAAAACTTTAACATTGTGAACTTTTTTCTAAAAACAAATATCGATATACAGCATGGACTGAACGTAAGAGGTTTTGAATTTAATATTGTGAAATTTAAAGGAAATTATTTGTTGGACAGAGAGAAATGGGAATGTAAGCTCTATGAACGAAATGAATTTTTTTTT